CAAATGGTTTTCTTCATTCAACTGAAGTGTTGAATAATTCAGCAGTTCAAAATCTAGCAGAGCAGTGTACAACCACTGATACCTAATCCTCCTAATGGCCCCTCCTTTGAAAACTCTGACCATAAAGGGAAGAGAACACAGGACAACAGGACACACTCACTTCTTTATGAACACCACAGAGACCTTCTCCAGCACTGAGGGAACACCTCAAAGCCCCAGCAGAACTACAGGGAGCTGTCCTAGCTTCTCTGAATTATTCTAGAGGATCATTTGGCCCACTTTAACAACAGTCCTCCATTGTGCACTAAGGAGTCTCTCTTGGCTGCCCAGAACAGTCAATTCTAGTAACCAGACCCTCAGATTTCACGTGATAAGCTTGTGCTTACCACTAGATTGTCTTTGAATGAAAGTTCTGCCAAGTCAATTAGCAGCCAATAGACAGGATTTATTGAGCCTGTGTGGTGTATAATGGAACACTAACACTTTCCAGAGGACTTCCAAATGTGGAATGACTTCAGATTTGTTTATAAACACCTCAAGCACAACTCAGGATATTAAATCTGTCTAGTAGTTAAAGGGGAATTTTAATTATTTTTTTAACAAATTCTTGGGATTTTTAAAATAATCTAAGTATTTTTATCTTGTGTGTATTGGTATTTGCCTACATATATGCCTTATGAAGGTGTTAGATACCCTGGAATTAGAGTTACAGACAGTTGTTAGCTCCCATGTGTGGTGCTGGGAATTGGACCCAGGTCCTTTAGAAGAAGAACCTGTGCTCTTAACCCCTGACCCATCTCTCTCCACATTTACTGTTGTTTTTTGTTTTTTCAGCCACATGTATGCTAGGCTAGCATCAAATCCACTATGTAGGAGAGGATAACCTTGAACTGCTATTCTTCCTGCCTTTTCCTCCCAAGTGCAAGAATTACAGGCATGAGCCATGATTATTGATCTATGCTGTGCAAGAAACGGAACCCGGGGCTTCTGGCATGCCAGACAAGCATTCGACCAAAGAAGCTACATTCCCAGTTCCTGGACAATTTTATTTACTTACTGAGTAGACCTACTTTGTTTTACATACATATACACACAACAAAAATGAAAATATTAAAATAACGAAGGTAGGACCAGAAAAAAAATCAATAAAAGTTCAAGAGCAATAATACAGTAAACTCTAAAATACATGTTGTCCATAAGGACTTTACAGAGTTACAATGATCTAGTTTCAACATGGTGGATTTAAATATCAGTCACAAAGGGGATACAAGTTCAATGACAAATTCATGAAAAAGGCACAGGCAATTCAAACATTAAAGAGAATTTCTTCTACAAGTGGATTCCAGAGGGGCCACCAAAAGAGACAAAAGGTAAAATGTGGACCAGAGTTCAGCTTTCAACACAGAGAACTGCAACAGATATTCCTTCTGGGTCATTTCTCAGGCTTTTACATTTTTCTCTCTTACTACCTTATGCCATGTGATAATATACAATCTTAAAATTCCTCACAAGGAAGGCACAGAATGAACAATGTTATAATACACAAATTTGTCAAAAATCTTTATATTTAAAGCTATCTGACTCTCTGGTGAGTGTGGTGGCACACACCTTTGATTCTAGCACTTGAGAGGCAGAGGCAGGTAGATCTCTGAGTTCAAGGCCAAGCTGGTCTACAAAGCAAAGTTCCAGGACAGCCAGGATTATTACACTGAGAAACCCTGTGGGGGAGGGAGGGACACAGTATCTAACAATTCTTACCTATTAGCACACAAGCTCAACCGGAGAGAATGGGGAGTACTTCTGACGTCAGAATCTACAGAAGATGAACTTTTTTGTAAAGTTTCCACCAAATCAAAATTCTCCATATCGTACAAAAATTGTTAAGCTCTGTCATCTGGAAACACTCTTGCTTCTCCCAAAGGAGGAGACTGCTTCCAAGTCCTCTTCAGCTGCTTCATCATCTACCAGCATCCTCAGCAGCTGGCATTCAGAACTGTGAAGTCTGCTACACTTCCAAAGAGTCTGAAAATGAAGGGGGGGAAACTACTGAAAAGGTCATTAAGTTCACCCACTATCTTTTCATGGCTTTGGAAACCTCTCAAATTCATCTACATTAAGAACAGCAGCCCAGGGGCTGGAGAGATGGCTCAGCAGTTAAGAGCACTGGCTGCTCTTCCACAAGATCTGGCTGGGTTTAATTCCCAGAATCCATGTGGCAGCTCACAACTGTCTGTAACTCCAGTTCCAGGGGATCTGACACCTGCACACCAATGCACAGAAAATGAATTTAAATAAATAAATAAATATATATATATGTGTGTGTGTGTATATATACATATATATATATATATATATATATATATATATATATATATATATATGAACAGCATGGGCTGGAGAGATGGCTCAGCAGTTAAGAGCACTGACTATTCTTCCAAAGGTCCTGAGTTCAATTCCCTGCAACCACATGGTGGCTCACAACCACCTTGAATGAGATCTGATGCCCTCTGCTGGCATGCAGGCAGAAGATTGTATACATAATAAATAAATAAAATATTTTTTTAAAAAAAAACGGTGGCGCATGCCTTTAATCCCAGCACTCGGGAGGCAGAGGCAGGTGGATCTCTGTGAGTTCGAGGCCAGCCTGGTCTACAGAGCAAGTTCCAGGATAGCCTCCAAAACAATACAGAGAAACCCTGTCTCAAAAAACCAAAATAAAATAAAAACAGCAGCTGGGTATGGTGGCACACGCCTTTAGTCCCAGCACTTGGGAGGCAGAGGCAGGTGGATCTCTGAGTTTGAGGTCAACCTGGTCTACAGAGTGAATTCCAGGACAGGCTCCAAAACAATACAGAGAAACCCTGTCTTCAAGATTAAAAAAAAAAAAAAGCCGGGCGTTGGTGGCACACACCTTTAATCCCAGCACTCAGGAGGCAGAGGCAGGCTGATCTCTGTGAGTTCAAGACCAGCCTGGTCTACAGAGCTAGTTCCAGGACAGCCTCCAAAGCCACAGAGAAACCCTGTCTCGAAAAACCAAAAAAAAAAAAAAAAGATAAAAAAAAAGACCACTATTCTCTGACCCTATTGATATGAAGCATCTAGCATTGGCAAATCCATAGGGCAGAAAGCAAACTATGTCTGAAGCACTGAGAAGGGGAGAAGGGAGGTCACTGAGGTGTAGTCACTTTTCATCTTGGGCTGATGAAAAGTTCTAGAATTAGCTTTTTTTTCTCTCTCTCTAAAACCCCAAAATCACATGTTTTCAACAGGATGTAGGTTATGTATAGGAACCATATGTCGGTTTAAGTAGCTTGTAAGAATCACATTATCTCCCACAGGCAGTATTTCAGAATTTTGTGTTTAATAATCAAGGTTCTAGGTGTACTTCTATTATGTAATAAATGGAATACTTCCGGGCCTGGTTCACTTCTTTAGTAAGTCCTAAGCTGCAGAAGTCTTTGTTAACTTATGTAGCCACTGGAAGTTGGTGCTTAAAGGCTATTTAACTGTTAACATTGGCTGAATGTACAATTTTCACTACAGAGCCTTTTTACTCTGCACAAATTAACTAAAATTTTACTAAATTTGGATATACAAAGATAAAGCTGCTGTTATAAGCCCAACCATATATCTCATCCTTCCAGAATCCATTGATTTTAAAAAGATGGGGGAAGAGAAGATAAGGGGGGAACAAAAACAAAAACAAAACAAACCAACAAACAAAAAAACCCATGCTGCTTATAAAATGAGGTTAGAGACCTCATCGGAAGAACTTCTCACATTCCTGTTCCACCCAACTCTCACTTTGCAGGGCTTAAAGAACACAATCGGGTCATTGATTTAAGGAAGCAATCCCTCCAGGGCAGACACGGAGGCGAAGGATGACCAGACCTAACTAAATGGACTGGCAAAGAAAATACCTGGATTCAAATGACCACAAGTTCTCCAGAGAGGTGGATCTACAGTTCCATCTCTTTTCACCGTCCCCGTCCCCCACCCCCACTGAGGTCATGCGGATGCCGAAGATACAGACAGAAACACGTCTAGAAACTCGATGGCTCATCTCCCGGCAAGGGGAAGGGCGAGGAGAAAAGGGGAAATCCATTGTGGACCCCAAATAAACTTGACAGAAGATGAATGTAGGAACACATATTTTTAAATATAATTTCCAAAACAAAAAAAAAGCATGCTCTGTCCTTCACCCTACAACCCTTTGGGTCGGAGGCAGGAGCGATGGAGTAGCATTAACAATCTGAAAGTTGACAGAGCTTCCTCTTTGCGGGGAAGCTGAAAGGAACTAGTACTAGGTGGTTTCAGGTGTTGAAGCCAGACCCTAGTCGCTGGTGGCGGCTATCGGTTCAAGACCGGAGGCGAGAGGATACAAGGCAGCAGGGATGACAGAGAGCCACTCACTGCCGCTGCAATTTCCAAAGGACGCCCGGGTACCACTACCCTGGGGAAAAGCGGGTGGGGGGGAGCACTCACGCCCCTTGCAAAGGCCGCTCTCCGATTGGGCCTCGCTGATGTCACTCAAGGGCACGAGTCTAGAAAAGGCGCACGCACCAGCAGACCCGCACACGCCAGAGGAATCCCGCTAGCTATACGGCAGCTGTCGTCCCTCACCCTAGCCTGTCACCGCGCCCAAAGGGGTCCCCTCTGATGGGATCGTCTAGGACTCGGTCCTCCGCCCCCGCGGCACGCAGCTCCCCAGAAGCCGTGACCGCTTACCTGGCCTCCTCGCCTCTGTCTTGTCAGGGTCGAGAAATTGGCCTCACGCGACCGTTAAACTCCAAGGAGCGTGCGCGCGCCCGGCGTCTCATCCGCGATTGGCTGCCCGGAAGAGGGCCGAGCCGGCGCAGACAGACGCCTTCCCACTCCCTGACCCGCTGCTCTCGCCAAAGGGGGCGGGGCGACGCCGGAGGCGGGAGGGTGGGGCTTGAGGTCAAGGCCTCTGTCGATTGGTTCTCTGGAAACTGCGGGAAAGACGCCTCGGTTTCTCGCATGCGTAGTTGATGAGACTGAGCCTCTGTCAGGCTAGGGATGCCGCCGAGAGACTAGGACGCATGCGCAGATCTGGAAAAAAAAACCACGCAGACTGCGGTCCTTGGTCCTTCGTGGTTTAGATTGTTGCTGAATGCTTCCGGCTGGAGGCCGGTTCTAAAACAGGTAAGCGTCTGCAAGGCCAGGCTCCCATGATGGCTGGTCACTACTGTCACAGGCCCTGGGATGAAACGTTGCAGCTGCAACTCCTGCCCTACGTCCGACTCGAGGCACCTAACTTACTAGAGGTCTTTCTCGGCCTGACTCCTGAGCTAAATTGTCGGGACTCACTTTACCCTAAATTTAGGGAGATCGGCGGTGTGTCTCTCCGAGCACTTGGTGAGAGGAGTGGAGGAGAGTTCGCAGCTCTGGAGAAGATAGTTCCACGGAGGCCCAAGGAGGAGCGTGTCGATACTCATCTACTTAGTGGATCAGGTCTTGCAGCAAGTGCAGTGCTAGGAGTAGCAGCAGAGCGTTGTCCTAGCTGCAAGTGTTTGAGCACTGTCATTTACGCGTACAGGGCTGCTACTGCGAAGTCGGGATGCGGGGGATGTATTTGCCCTTGAGATGGCAAACCTACAAAGAAACATCCCATCTCATCCTCTCCTTGAAATCCCCACCACTTGTCTTTATTTTGGTTTTTCGAGACAAGGCAGGCACAGAGATCCGCCTGCCTCGGCCTCCTGATTGCTGGGATTAAAGGAGTGCGTCACCACCGCCCGACTGTTTTTATTATTATTATTTTAGACAGTCTCACTATATAACCCTATCTGCCATGGAACTCAATGTAGATCAGGCTGGCCTTGAACTCACTGAAATCCGCTTGCTTCTGTCCCCCAAGGGCTGGGATTAAAGGGCTATGTTTTCAAGCCTGACCATACAGATATTTTTCAACCGAATTTTTAGTAGCGATCCCAAATTTACAGGTGTATGCCAGATCTAAAGCTTAATAGATAAAACTTCCACAGATTCATCCACCCATCAGTATAATGGCCACATACGAAACCAAAATCATATTTTAAGTGCACAGATGTTTTCAGTGACCTCATATTTCAAAATGTGTTATCACTTTGTTAATCCAGACTTAATCTATTAGACTAATAATTAAAAACTCTAGTATCTTACATTTAAATAAATGAGAATCATGAATTCCTCAAACAACTTCAGTCAGAGAAAGCTGTGTTCCTCCTACAGACAAATACTAAATCCAAAGGCAGCTACAACTAGCTACTAACCATACAGAAGTCATAGCCACAAACCCAGAAATGCTCTGTAAGTTTGGGAGAGGTTTTTGTTGTTGTATTCTTTTCATAATATCATTTTGAGTAGTATCATTTTTGTTGAGCTCTGTTTTGGTTTTTGAGAGAGGGTCTCTCTTATATCCCTGACTAACCAGACAGTATGTAACCAGGCTAGCCTTGATCACTTGATCTTCCTGCCTTTACCGCACAAATGTTGGGATGACCAATCAGGGTGTACCCACCACAGCTTCAGTATATTATTTTTAGAGAATTCCTTTTTAATTTGTTGATGCGTTACATAAAATGTTCAGGAACTAGCATTGTGATTTAACTGTTAATTTGTTCATTGACACAGGTACGGTTGTACATGCCATGTTTCTTACCTTACGTTAAGCTTTTTGGCGAGATCTCATTCATTCGTTCATTCTTTTGCTGGCCTAGAACTCCTGCCACTCTGGTGCTGGAACTAGCTCTCCTCTTGTTGCATGGTGTGACTTGCTTCAGGGTGTTATTTTGTATAATTGATGGGTTTTTTTTTTTTTTTTTTTTGGTTTTTCCAGACAGGGTTTCTCTGTGGCTTTGGAGGCTGTCCTAGAACTAGCTCTTGTAGACCAGGCTGGCCTCGAACTCACAGAGATCCTCCTGCCTCTGCCTCCCGGGTGCTGGGACTAAAGGCGTGCGCCACCAACGCCCGGCCATAATTGATGTTTTATAGCAAACGGTTTCTCTGGGAAGGGGGCATCCTTCACAGCAAAAAAATAAGCAATAAAACCAAATCTAGCTCACCTAGTAAACATGGAAAGTTATCAGATTTGTGTTTTGTTTCATTTTGTGGTGCTTAAAATCCACAGCTAAGCAGTTATTGTGCCATAAGGTTGCATTTCCAACCCTGTGTTTAAACTTTTTGTTTTTTATGATTTTTTTTTCTATTACAGTCCATACTTCTAAGGTTGTTTCAGCTAAGCTCAGTTTAGTCAAGGCAGCTTGGTTTGTCAGTGTGGACCTGCTGAGAAGTCAGGCTGTAATTTTGGCATCATAATGATCTCCTTGGCACCTGATTTCATAGACCAGAATTATGATCTCAGCAAATAGCACCTCTTTGGTATTCTCATGGTTTCCAGGAATCTTTTGTTTGTTTGGTTTGGTTTTTGTTTGGTTGGTTTTTTTGTTTTGTTCTGGTTTGGTTTTTCAAGACAGGGTTTCTCTGTGACTTTGGAGCCTGTCCTGGAACTCGCTCTGTAGACCAGGCTGGTCTGGAACTCACAGAGATCCGCCTGCCTCTGCCTGCTGAGTACTGGGATTGAAGGTGTGCGCCACCACCTCAGGGCTGCTTTTGTTTGCTTTTTGAGACAGGGTTTCTCAGTGTAGTCCTGGCTTTCCTGGAACTAGCTCTGTAGGCCAAAGATCCACCTGCTTCTGCCTCCTAAGTGCTGGGATTGAAGGTGTGCACCACCTGACAGGCTCCAGGTACCAAACAAAATAATTTTCAGGTCACTCTTCTAGATGCCTTTTCACTTTTAATCCATGAAATAGCTGTTTTTCAGGCTGACCTTATGCCATCAGACACAACTCAAGTGGTTATATGTCAAAAATTCCTCAGTTGTGCAGTTTAGGGGATGACATGCTATCACCTAACATGCACTAAAAGCTTTATGTCTGTGGCAACAACATGACTTTGTCCTCACCCTACATGGTAAGATCTTCCTCGTCCACATAAGGAAACATGACCGTGGTTGTAGATTCAGTAAATCACAGCTCTAGGCATGAGTACTACAGAGTTCATACTCACCCTCATGGTAGCACAGGCCTGTAACTCCAGAGCTTGGAGTGCTGGAGCAGTAGGATCACAGATTAAAGATAGCCTGGGCTATCTTTGTGTTGTGCCCAAGTTGCAAAGTCCCCAAAGACCACCAGGAAGACAGACCCACTAAGCTTCAAAAGCAAGGTTTAATGATTGTTCATCGCCCATGACAGGGACCCCGTCTAGCAAGCTGACGCAGCAGTCTCCAGAGAGTGTGAAGTTCCCTGTCTACTGCTAGGTTTTAAAGGCAAAAGTCACAGGATTACGTCAGTAGGTACGGGTTGGTTTCTGATTGGTTGACATTTAGGAACAATTAGGAGCACTTTTCAAAGTTATATTTTGGTATGAAATACCTGTGTACCAATTATTTTCACTGGTCAGTGCTGAGAGGGAACATTCTGTGGTTTCTATGACATTGTCTTGTTACTTGTGGGTGGCTTGTTATACTGGAGACTACAAGGGAGGTTTTGGTCCCATCACTGTCCCTGTCCCCCCACCCCCACCCCACCCCGCCCCTGGAGTTTCTTTTGTGGCCAAACAGTTCCCAAGAACCAAGTAACTCGGAGGCTGGGTGGGAGTGTGTGTCTGAAGTTTCTTTGTGTTCAGTTTTGGCCCTAGACTCTGGGAGGCCAGAGGATCTGGAGTTTCCTTGTGTCTGAAGCGTACGTATCTTTTCTGTAGCCTGTCATGGCTGCTAAATCAGGGGCTGAGTGAGGATCTGGTCACTTTATTTCTAAATTATTAGAAGTAAAGCCTTTGAGTTTAATTTACCCTTTCAGGGACCAGAGTTTGGATCCCCAGAACTCACATAAAATGCCCAATGAGTTTGGTGACCAGCCTGTAACTCCAGCTTTGGAAGGCAGAGACAGGGGAATCTCCAGAGCAAGCTGCCTAGAGAAGGTAGCAATATCCGTGAACTCCGGGTGCCATTGAGATCCTTACTCAATGAAAAAGGTGAAACAGCAACATAGGATTCCCAACATAAACTTTCGGCCTCTGCAAGCACGTATTCACATCCACACATGGAAATGGACAAGGAAAACAATGAAAGAAAGCTTATTCTATTCTGCAGTATAGCCTTTCTGAGATAAAATGAGAGAAAGACTCAGGGAAAAAATTAAGCAAAGTGAGCAGACTTTTTTTTTAAGGAATAGAAATAAAGAACAGATTGGAGACGTTATGAAACATGTTGGGAAAAAATAAATTTAGTTTCCAAAGTTGAAATTAAAGCACATACCTTTAACCCTAGTACTCAGACAGAGGCAGACAGATCTCTATGAATTTGAGGCCAGTCTGGTCTACACAGTTCCAGGACAGCCAGGGATGCACAGAGAAACCCTGTCTTGAAAAGCAAACAAACAAAAAAAGGCATGGTGGCACATGCCTTTAATCCCAGCAGTCAGGAGACAGAAGTAGGTGGATCTCTGCAAATTGGAGTCTGCAAATAGGCCATATCAAGTTCCAGACCAGCCAGGTCTTCACGAGACTCAAATAAAGTTGAAAACAGCTAGCCTGTACTCCCACTCAGTAGGGATATCTGAAGTTCAAGGTCATTTTAGGCTCTGTAGTAGTAAGTCTGAGGCCATCCTAAGCTATGTAATACTTTAGTTTTTTATAAAGCCTAATTAGTGGTGCACAGACTTTAAGATAAAAGATTGTGTTGTCAGTTCTGCTTTCTGAATGTTCCTGTAGTGTTCTCCTACTGTGTCTGATAAATTAGAAGGTTCCTGTGAGATGCCACAAATAGGACATATCCTCCATGCAAAAGATGAGTAGGATGTTGTGAAAACTGGATACTGGTCCCTTTATATATTTCATTAGTTTTCTCTTGACCTAGGTAGCAACAAACCTGTTAAATTCAGATCAGACCCAGAGTGGTCTTCCTTGCCTGTTCTCCCAGATCAAAGCAGGGTTGTGTATCCTGGGCTGACTTCAAGCTTGCTGTCAAACTGAGGCCTGCCCTGAATGTATGCTCCTCCTGTTTCCATCTCTCGAGTGCAGGGTCATAAGCATGGACCACCAAGCCTGGTTTATGCTCTGCTGGGGATAGACCTGGAACCTCATGAAGTAACAACAAAATAATT